TTTTGTATAAAATTAAGTAAAAATTTATCCCTCAGAAACAAATATTTTAAATGTAAAAGAACAACATTATAGTCTCTGACGTTGGCCATAGCAACTTTTTTCTAGGTAGGTTTCCTAAGGCAAGGAAAACAAAAGCAAAAATAGACTATTGGAGCCATATCAAAATATAAAGCTCTGCACAGCAAAGGAAACAATCAAGACAACGAAGGGGCAACCTATGGAATGAAAGACAATATTTGCAAATGATATATTTGATAAAGGGTTAATATCCAAAGTATATAAAGAACTTATAAAAGTCAGCATCCAAAAAAACAAAATTAAAAAATGGGCAGAAGACATAAACAGACATTCCTCTCAAGAAGATATAAGATGGTCAAGAGACAAGTGAAAAGATGCTCATCATCACTCATCAGTGAAATGCAAATCAAAAGTACAATGAAATATCACTTTGTACCTGCTAGAATGACTAAAATAAAAGAAAAAACACAAGAAACAACAGGTGCTGGCAAGAATACAGAGAAAAAGGAACCCTCTTGCACTGGGAGGGAATGTTGGTAGGAATGCAAACTGGTGCAGCCACTCTGGAAGACAGTATGGAGGTTCCTCAAAAAGTTAAAAATAGAACTAACATAATGATCCAGCAATCACACTACTGGGTATTTACCCCTAAAATACAAAAAAAAACAAAAAAAAACCCACTAATTCAAAGGAATACATGCACCCCCACGTTTATAGCAGCATTATTTACAATAGCCATAGAAGCAGCTCAAGAGTCCATCTGCTGATGCATGGATAAAGAAGATACATATATTGGAATATCATCAGCATAAAAAAGAATGAAATCTTGCCATTTCTAATGACATGGATGGAGCTAGGGGGATAATGCTAAGTGAATTAAGTCAGAGAAAAACAAATACCATATGATTTCATTCATATATGGAATTTAGGAAGCAAAACAAATGAGCAAAGGGGAAAAATAAAAGAGAAGTAAACCAAGAAGTTGAACAAACTGACAGTTACTAGAGGGAAGGTGGTTGGGGGATGGATGAAATAGGTGATGAGGATTAAGGAGTGTACTTGCCGTAATGAGTATCAAGTGATTAAAATAAGGCTTAAAAAATAAAAAAAAGAACAACACTATTATCAGAAAATTAGCCCAAAATATAGTGTGCATTTATCTAATGGAGAGATTTCTTACATGTCTAAAAGAAAATTTTGCAACATTTGGTCATGTTAATATTTCAATGTGCATATTAAAAAAACAGTAAACAGTATACTTAGAGACAGAACGTGAAAGCAAGCATAAATTGAACATTTACTTCACATATTTATATCTTGTTTAATACACCTAATAGTAGAAAGAATTAGAAATCCAAAAGAAAAAGAGAAAGAAACTGATAAATTTGGGCAAAAAAATGGTACAGGCAATTTACAAAATAAATGTACAGATGCCAAGAGATATTTCCTATCCAATTTACAAAAATGAAAACAGTCATAAGTTCCAATAATAGCAAGTGCAAGGAGTATTCAGCAATTCCCTCTATGCTGCTGCTGTTAGTGCAGAATGGGGTAATATTTCAAGATTCCTTGAAATAAACTTGCCAGTTTACATTAAGGACAATTTTTTAAAAGATTTGGTTCCCATTTATTCTACATTTAGGATTTTTTTCTTTTATGGTAGCCATAAATATACAAACATAATTACTACAAAGTTATTTAGATAGGACAACTATTAGAAAGAATTTAAGCTTTGGCAATAGAAAAGTGCTTTAAAAGAGGCTTATCTGTAGGATAAATTGGTAGATATAAATGTAAAATGCAGAGGATATTTAATCATGAACATGAAAAATGCCTCTAAATATTGGTAAATTCGGCAATGTCTATTTTACATTCATATTCATGTGTTTATACATGTGCGCATGCACATACCAGAGATAAATCTTCTAATTAACACTTTGTATTTTGATTAAAGACTGACTTTAATTTCTTTTTTTTTCTTTCTTTTTTTTTTTTAAATTTTTTTATTTATGATAGTTACAGAGAGAGGCAGAGACACAGGCAGAGGGAGAAGCAGGCTCCATGCACCGGGAGCCCGATGTGGGATTCGATCCCGGGTCTCCAGGATCGTGCCCTGGGCCAAAGGCAGGCGCCAAACCACTGCGCCACCCAGGGACCCCTCTTTTTTTTTTCTGACTTTAATTTCTTCAGTGAGATTTTCTGCCCTTCTTAAATTTCTATAATAAATATATGCTGATTTTATAAAAAAAATTAAAAGATCATTCAAAATATTAAAAATAATGAGAGATTACTTGTCTTCTCTCAGCATGCAAATCTTTTCTTTTACTGTTTTTTTTCCTTTTCATACCTCTAAAAAATATTTATTTATTTCCATATGTATTCATGCCTATTTGTGTGTATGTGTGGTGTGTGTGTATGTGTGTGCATGTGTGTGTATCAAGGAAGCTGGACCTGAAGGGCGAAACTGCCCTTGTAATAGATTTCCAACTTCCATGTTTTGTAGAAATCATTCTAGAATCTGCAGGCTACCAAGGAGGTCCTTATAAATAGCTATCCTCTAAGTTCTTGATCAGTCTTTTTGCAATTACTATATTGTTAAAGGTATCAAACTTTAGAGTTATGTTTTTTTTTCTTTTAAATGGAATTGGAGATCATAGAAAATTGGCGTCTGCTGTTTCTAGCAGGTGAAAGCCATACTTATTCCTATATTTCCTATATTCATGACTGCCTTCTTGTATTGCCAAGTTCCTGGAAAAAGAACACATCACTATGAATCCCATTTCTATATTTGCATGTGATCAATTTGAAAAGTATTATAAGAGTTCGTTGCATACAACTTTCTCTTTCTCTCAAGGAAGTTGGAATTTATAAAATTAGATGTATTTTTCAGGGGTCAACTCAGGGTTTTTCCAGGGAAAACCTCTGGAAATTGGTTCTTTGCTTATCTTGAATTAGGTATATATGAGATAAGAAGGGTGTACTAGCAAATAGATTCGAGAAACAGGACTTGAACACTCAAAACCAATCTTAAAAAAAGAAAAGAGAAGAGAAACAAATGGAAAGAAAACAAAAAATATCAGAACAAAAAATAACTATTTTGGATATAAGCTGGAAATAAAATTTCTCTCATTCTAAGTTTTATCGGATAAAGTCAATTCATTTAGCCACTGAAAAGACCAAAATTAAAAACAAAGAAGAAAAATAACTAATAGAAAGTATTATTAATCTAAAAATGAAAAATGTTCTCAGACTTTATAAAATAAATTTTGAGGAATATGGATGTGTAGAGTAGTGGGTATTACTTGGCACTTTCTATTATATTGTTTATTTGAACATTTTCAATTCTCTCTCATTAGCATGCAAATTCTATGAGGCAGTGAACTTGCCAGTCTCTTAGTGATTAGCAAATGTATACTGAATGGCATAATTTACATATCTATATTCTAACTTGCTTTATTCTCAGTGCAAATTATTTTCTAAGTTTTATTCTCAGAGATTTAAAAACAAATCTCTTTTTTGTGAGAGTACCTCATCCTAACCTCCAAATGCTTACAAAAAAATGTATTTTTTTCCTTTATGAACTCTTTGTTCACAGAAATAAAAATGGTCAGGTCAAAGTGAAGAGTTTTAAAGCATGATCTTAAGTGATTTATTCGAAACACTTTGAATATTCTAATTGATCATAACAATCTATTGTCTAACTAATTGATCATAACAATCTATTGTCTAACTAATATGCAAACTCTCTGCTTATCTGCAGATTCTTTTACTCTGTGACAGAGGTTCTCCAAACTTTTTTTTTTACATTTTTTTTTAATTTAAATTCAATTTGCCAACATATAGTATAACTAACACCCAGTGCTCATCCCATCAAGGCCCCAAACTTATTTTTCTGTTTGTTTCCAATGTACCCCCAGGAAAAATGTGTGGTGGATGGAAGTCAACCTAGGCCAAGATGCATCCAGGCGTGGCTGCACAACTTTTATTTTCATGTGAATGTAAAAGTTTAGGGAGCACTGATAAATGATATTCTACTATCATTGTTAGTAAGCAAAATGAAGTATATCAGGCATGAGTTGTTTTTAGGTATCCCAAGCAGCAACCTTCTTGTCACTTTTTAAGAATTTAGTCCCACAAATCTTCTCTTTGATTAGCAGAGCCCTGGGTTTCTGGCATAGGTTCTGACATTATAAACAAATCCAAGGTGCTGGCCTGGCTCCCAAATATGGAAGCAAAATGAACCTCAAAATATGCTTGGGGGACAACAATCCAGGCAAATACACACATGTGCACACACGTACACACACGTACATGGAGTCTGAAGGAGGAGAAAGTGCTAAAGTAGCAGGAGGAAAATGTAGATAAAACTAGAGAGGGATTTGATTTCTGGGTATGATACTAGGCTGGGCCAGCTATTGAAGATCCTGGTTAGTGGCATATTCTTCCACCTATCCTCCAGGAACATATTCAGAAGGATAAGGAGAACAAAACTTCTAGCGCTAGCTGGGAGACAATAAAAACATAAGCTCTAAGTTGTATGTACATGTAACCAGAAGCCACTGAGACACAAATGAAGAAGGAAGAGGTAGAAATGCAGCCATGAAGAAGGGGATGAGAGAAGCACCTGACAAGGGCAGAGGAGTAGTCATGACTATAATATTAAAGTTACCTTCTTTAAAGCAGGAATTGCAGAAGAGAGACAATGGCAACTATTTGTTAGGTACTTTGTATATGCATGTCTTATCCATCACATTTTATCCTCACAACTACTTCATAAGTAGATGCTACCAGTAATCCATTTGAAGAAGAGGAAAGTGAGTGACTCAGAGACTAGTTAGTAGTTTCTGGATCATGGTTAGTAAATGATAGAGGTGGTATGTAATCACAATCTGCCTTCAGAATTAAGTCCTCAATGCATTATACAGAGTGATATGCTATCACTGAGCCAACCACCAAATGTGCATTTATATGAACCTACTTACCTCCTTAAGGTTCAATCTAGTTACTTAAGTTAATTCCATTGTTGTGATCAATTCTCTATACTAATCACGACCTTCTTGTATGACTCCATAGGTGTACCTAAAATAAAAACAGGTAGAATGAATTATGTTTCTAATAAATGCAAAGGCATTTACCAGGCAACACATGATTAGTGTCAACTGTTCTTAATGCTTCTGACAACTAGCAAATTGCTTGGTTACAAGCAAATAGATGCTTCAACGGAGACCTGTGACAAAGGATAAATGACAAAAATCTAGGATTGAATCCTGCCCAATCTCTCAACCACCGTTAAATCAGCCCTAAATTAGTGAATTGAAGTTTTACCAAAAGAAAACAGATGACCTATGCTCTTTGTGTCATTCTATCAATTCAACAATGGACACCAACCTGTGAATTCTCTTTACTTTCATCTACTTCTTCTAGGTTTCCTAGAATAATATGCCTAATAAGAAAAAGACAAAAAACAGAACTCAATTTGATTAGTGCACTAAATTTCTATTCATTGCACTAAACTTCATCATTCTTGTTCTACCACTAGGATATTTCAATGTCTCTATTCCTCACTATGGTTTAAGTTCCACAGAAGACCACTACAGATAGTTCTGGGTTTTTTTTATTGTTTTCTTTTTTATGTCCAGCATAACATATAACACATAGTAGTTGATCAGTAAATACTTGTTGAAAGAAGACGTGAGTCATAGGAATATAAATATTTGCTAAATAGATGCATACATATTTACAAAGAAAAGTGTTCTACTATAAATCAGAGAGATTACCAACATTTAAAAAAATATTAATCATGAATTTACATAAAATATGAATAACCGGGATCCCTGGGTGGCGCAGCGGTTTAGCGCCTGCCTTCAGCCCAGGGCGCGATCCTGGAGACCTGGGATCGAATCCCACGTCGGGCTCCCGGTGCATGGAGCCTGCTTCTCCCTCTGCTTATGTCTCTTCCTCTCTCTCTCTCTCTCTCTGTGATGATCATAAATAAATAAAAATTAAAAAAAAAATAAAACTTAAAAAAAATATGAATAACCAAAATAAGGCCTCATCATTATCAGTGTTTCTGGCCATGCTTCCAATTTACTACTTTCTTATTAGAGATGGTCTTTTTTCTTTGTCCTCAAGCCTTGAGTAGAATTGTTTCCACTTGCTCTTCTACCTGACACTTTAAGAACTTATTTAGAATGTTTTCCTTTGTTTTTGAGCCCAATCACAATCCCATGAATGTGTATAGCAATAACATGCAATTAAAAACAAAAATACATAAAAGTAATCATCTTGGTGTTGTACAACACAAAGGATCGATGCAGAATTTCTGATTTGGTTGTTTTAAAGTGAAATAAGATAATGTGTAGGGATTCTCTACATAAGCTAGCATATAAATGGATATGTGTAAAATTGAGCATTTCAAGAAGGTTGCATAAGGAGCCTTCATTCACCTCCTCCCGCAGCACATCAAATATATAGCTACATATGAAACAATTTGCTCCACAACAAAAGATTAAACGGTCACATCAAGACAGGTAGGAGAGAGAGAGACACAGTCTCATCAAAACTCCTCCCCCAGCACTGCAACCAACAATCTGGAGGGATCTCAGAAATATAGAGCGAGGTGAGCCCCTGAAGCTCCAATTCTGAAAATCAACAGGGCTTATGTCCAGGAGACACAAAGAAGTGTAGGAAACTGAGATTCCATTCCTAAAGGGCTTGGACATAGATTCTTCTTTCATTTCAGAACCCAGCAAAAAAACCCAGTAGTTTGAAAGTACCTAGATCATATGTGAAAGGGATTTGTTAGCTAACCTTAAGGCATCTGCCAAAGGGACAGTGGCCTGTTGGAACTCTCCTCAAGGCTGGATGTCCTGGACCCCCCCCCTTTTTTTTTTATTTTAAAATTTTTATTTATTTATTTATTTATTTATTTATTTATTTATTTATTTATTTATTTATGTTTTCTACACTCTCCCTTTACCTTGCAAGGATGGGCAGGTATATGCAGTCATAATACGCTCCCCTGTTCACTAGAGCCATTCCATTAAAATGAGCATGCTCTGCACCCTACCACTCTCCTGCTGAAACCTATGGGCATATCTTGGCCTTATGCCCTCCTGTTGCCTTGCCAACACTGGCTGATATGCAGTTTACACAGGGCTAACTCTTGAGCACCTGGCTCTAGCAGTCAGTGAGGCTTGCATTCTGGACCCGATGGAATTGAAACAATCAGAGAGACAGAACTTAGTAGGCTCCAGACCACAGGGTACTGCACAAACCGTGTTGAAACATAAATCCAGTCTGCCTATGAAAAAGGCCCATTTATTTATCTGGACCTTTAGTTTGAAGGGCAAGTTTTGTTACAAATCTAGAGGCTATGGAGGTGCTCCCAGGGAATGTAGGCCATCTTTGTGCTCTCTCTTGACCTTGCTACAACTCCCTGGTACCTCCAGAAAGGAGCTTATACACTTTTCTAGAGACCTCATTTTATAACTATTGCCAAGGGGACACTTCCATATCACCAGGTCTGGAGGTCAGCAGAGTTCACAATTGTGGTCCCACAGAATTATATATATTTGAACACTTTAAAGGCTGCTACACACAGGTCTGGTTTCCAATCAGCCTCAATCTAGGTGCTGCTTGAAATCTCTCCCTTCAGAATACTGGCTGGTCTTGGCACACCACCACCAACTGGGACCTATCAAGAATAAATCAGATTGGTTAGACCAAATAAGTTTCAAGGGACAACCAAAAGGTAGGGCAAAGTTGAAGTTTCATTTCCTACAAAATATCACTCATTCAGGACTGAGAAAAGTAGGTGTTTTGCCTGATACATTGAAATAAACACAGACACTTAGGCAAAATGGGGAAACAGAGGATATATTCTGAGTGAAAGAACAAGATAGAACCTCAGAAAAAAAATATACCTTAAAAAATGATGAGCAATTTATCTGTTAAACAGTTCAAAGTAAAGGTCATAAAGATGTTCACCAAACTCAGGAGAAGAATGAGTGAACACAGTGAGAACTTCAACAAAGAGATAGAAAATATAAGAAAGTAACAACAGAAATCAGAGTTGCACAATATAATAACTGAACTGAAAATACACTAGACAGTTTCATCGGCAGAATTGATGAAGCAGGAAAACAGATCAGCAAGCTGGGAGACAAAGTAAGGAAACTCACCTAGACAGAGCAGGAAAAAGAAAAAAAAATGATTTCAAAAAGTGAAGATAACTTAAAGAACCTATGAGTCTCAAGTGGTTAACATTTGCAGAATAGGGGTCCCCAAAGAAGAAGGAAAAAAGGTAAGAAAAGTTATCTGAAAAAATAATAGCTGAAAACTTCCCTTATCTGGGGGATAGTTCCAAATAAGATGATCTCAAAAAATCCACACCAAGATATATTATAATTAAAATGTCAAAAATAAAGAAAGAATCTTAAAAGCAGTAAGAGAAAAACAGCTTGTTACATATAAGGGTACCTTCCAAAGACGATCAGCAGATTTTTAAGCAGAAATATTGCAGGTGAGAAGAAAGTGGCATGATGTATTCAAAGTACTAAAGGAATGAAAAAAAAAAAAAAAAGCTCTGGCAAAGTTATTATTATTATTGAAGAATTGAAGGAGAGATAGAGTTTTTCAGACAAGCAAAAAGTAAAGGAGTTCGTCATCTCTAACCAGGTCTTATACAAAATGTTAAAGGAACTTCTTTAAGCAGGAAAGAAAGGCCACTAATTAGTAACAAGAAAACATATGAAAGCAAAAATCTCACTAGAAAAAGGTAAATATATAGTAAATATAGTGGATTAATCAATGTTAAAGCTAATATAAAAGTTAAAAGATAAAAATAATTTAAAAATAATTGTAAGCATAGTAATTACATAAGGAACACCCAAAATAAAAATATGAAAAATATAAAATGTGAGAAGGGTAAAAATATGGAAGTTTAGAATATACTGAAACTTAATTTGCCATCACCTTAAAAAAGACCATTATATGTGAGCCTCTTGGAAATCACAAACCAAAAAACTTTGGTAGAATCAAAATATAATGAGAAAGGAATCTAAGCATAACACTAAAGAAAATTCTCAGACCAAAAGAAAGAAAGAGAAGAAGAAGAAAGGAATGGAAATGAACTACAAAACAGTCAGAAAATAATTAATAAAATGCCAGTAAGTATATATATGCCATTAATTACTTTAATAATTATAATTATTACATTAATAATCCAATAAAATGAATTTAGTTCAATAAATGGACTCAGTTCACCAGTCAAAAGACATAGAGTGGTCGAATTAGATAAGATGATGATAATGATGATGATAAACATCTGGATGCTGCCTAGAAGAGATTCACTTCAAATAAGAACACATAGGCTGAAAGAATGAAAAAGGTGTTCCGTAAAAATGGAAAGCAAAAGAAAGCTGGGTAGCCATGCTCATAACAGACAAAATAGACTTTAGAATAAAGGTCATAATAAAAGTCAAAAATAGTCATTAATTACATAGGATGTCTGGGTGGCTTAAGCACTGCTGAGCATCTGCCTTCAGCTCAGGGTGTGATCCCAGGATCCCGAGATCAAGTCCCATGTCGGGCTCTCTGCAGGAAGCCTGCTTCTCCCTCTGCCTCTGTCTCTGTCTCTCATGAATAAATAAAATCTTAAAAAAAATAGTCATTACATAATGATAAATGCATCAATCCAACAAGAAGATATAACATTTGCAAACATTTATGCAACAAACATAGATATAGCTAAATATATAAAGCAAATATTAGCATATCTAAACAAAGAAATTAACAGTAATACACTAATAGTAGGAGGCTTTAATACCCTACTTACATCAATGGATAGACCATCCAAACAGAAAATCAACAAGGAAACATTGACCTTAAATAACAAAATTAGACCAGATGGTTTTAATATATATATATATATATATATATATATATATATATATATATATATATATATATATAAACATTCCATTCAAAAGCAGTGGAGTACATATTCTCAAATGCACATAAAATAGTCTCTAGGATAGGTCACACAACAAATCTCAATAAATTTAGGAAGACTGAAATCATATTAAGCATGTTTTCTGACCATAATGATACAAAACTAGAAATCAGTTATAAGGAGAGAATAGGAAAAATCATTAATGTGTGGAGATTAAACAACATGCCACTGAATAACCAATGAGTCCATTAAGAAATCAAAAGGAAAAAAATTAAAAATACATTGAGACAGGTGAAAATGGAAATACAACATCCCCAAATCCATGAGATTTAGTGCAATTTCTAAAGGAAAGTTTAAAGTAATACAAGACTATCTTAAGAAACAAGAAAAATCTCAAATAAACATATCACATATAAACAAATAACTTCGCATCTACAGGAACTAGAATAAAAAAGAACAAATGAAGCTCAAAAGTAGAAGAAGAAAAAAAATAAAGAGTAGAAATAAGTGGAACAGAGACTAAAAAGACAATAGAGAAGGAAAGTAAGAGCTAATTCTTTGAAGGGGTAAAAAAAACTGACAAACTTTTAGCTAGACTCACTATGAAAAAAAAAGACAGGGGACTAAAATATAAAAACAGAAATAAAAGAAGGGAAGTCACAACTGATACTGAAAAGTCATAAGATAAAGGTTATATCTATTAACCAGTTACATGCTAACAAACTGGACATCCTAGAAGTGGATAAATTCTTAGAAATATACAGTCTTCCAAGACTAAATCATGAAGAAACAGAATATCTGAATAAAGAAATTACTAGTTGTATGGACCTTGACTATATGCTGAGTGATAAATCAGAGGAAGACAAATACCATATGATATCATTTATATGTGGATTCTAACCAAACAAAACAAACGAACAAACTAAGTATAACAAAACAAAACTCATTAGATACAAAGAATAAATTAGAGTTGTCAGAGGGGAGG